CAAGGGGGTAGCACGCGGATGAAGATCCATTGTCCTGTTATTCTGTTCTTGTTATAATTTTGGTGTGTGAAGTAATTGAGTGAGGTGGAACAGTTATCGCGAAGAGAGAGTGTCATAATTGAGGCGAGTGTTCTGCGGCAACCATCGTATCAGAGCGACCGGATTGGAAGATATCATCCGAGCGAGGGGACCCGGCTCATCGCCCACAGTACACGAAAAACCGATCGTAGTTCTCCCGGCTTCAGCAATCCTGGGCGACGACCCTCGCGAAATCAGGCTCGGACTACAAGACGAAGCTGTCTGCAGCAGCATTCGTCCGCGTGAGTTCACCTAGGTATAATAATATTTGCGTGCGGAAGACTGCGCAGGCTACGTGCCGCCCGAAGTTATATCACCTGTCTCTCTCTCACGCGTATGTTTAAGTAGACCGTGCGCCTCGAATCTCTCGGTCATTGCGGAATGCGCGTTAGTTTGTAAATAAATAACGAATAAAACCCGCTGTGATTGTACTAAGTAAGGCGGCGAATTTATTCGATTACACCAAATCTTTCTCTACGTTCCCTTCTCCTTCGTAACGTTTTCTGAGAACCTGCAACCGTCGCTCTTCTTCGTTGTCCCGTGCTTTCGCGCTCGTTTTCAGGTTGCACTATCGGCACGGAGCTAGCCAAAAGGAAGGTAACAACAGCGACATAGATATTTTGTTAACAGACAGTGATTCGCTTACGAAGAAAATAACTCCCGTTACAATATATACAGGTGTTATGTGATACAAGTACAATTTTAAACTAAACTCGACCTTTCATAAAACGTGTTTTTATATTTTTCCTTATGAGCAAAATAAAATAATATTATAAAGATAACAAAAACCGAACAACATTGTCAAAAATATCCAGTGGTTAACTATTGCGGCACTGCTTCCGCATATTAGTATCAATATGATTAATCAATCGCGGTTTCCGCATTTGCAGTGGTCAATAAAAGAATAACAACAAAGTGTCTGCAATATTTTTATTACTATTATTGTTATATATATAATCAATGCTGTCAAAATACAAAATTATTTATTTGGTGATAAGATTTTATATTCATATGCATCAATGTAATACATGGATTATAGGTATACAATACGATGAGGAACATAAGAAAATCAATAACAATTCATAATAATACATCTCCTAATAATAACAGAAATCATAATAAACTGTCAACTGGTTGATAACAGTTTTTTCAGAAAAATTTTTAACTAAAATAAAATTATTTGTTGAGCCAGAAAAACTGTGTAAAAATCATTTTTCAAAAAAAATTGCATAATATTTATAATAAACAATAGAAAAAAATTAAGAAACAAAAACAAGCGAAATTTGTGAAATTCAAAAAGTCAAAAATTCAAAAATAACCCAAAAACCACAGGTTTTTATTTTTGGTGCCACTTTGAGACTCGAAATACAAATTTTTTCGGTAAAATTTGATATCACATTTGAACGTGTAATTTCCCCCATAATTCGAATCTGCCATAAGCAACAGTAGTTTCCATTTGAAATTTTCAAGTTGAGCCAGATTTGGGCCAGCTTTTGGAATTGGACCCAAAAAACTGAGTTTCCCATTTGAAAGAACGAAAAACATTACAAAAGAAACACTGTAAATCTTTTCAAGTGCAAAAAACACGACTTTTACACATATTTGAGGTTATGTAAGATCATAAGATAATTTTTTTCGGTCAAACTAATTAATATATCTTAAAGTTTGAGTCTCCCTTCAAAATGAATTTTGAATCGTTGAGATATCTTTTTCTTTCACCGAGATATGATAATTTGAATTTAGCGTCTCGCCAACTTATGCACTTCAAGCGTATGTAGATAATTATAATTGGCAACCCTGTTTTTACGACCTAAATTACCGTATGGGCCGCTAAAAAAAATACGTGTCTAATATTTTTTGATACTCTAATCGTATGCAAAGTTTAAAGAAAATCGGTGACGGACACCTCCCTGCCTTCCCTTGTAAGTTGATTAGAAAATTATTAATTTTTAGAAAACTCAATTTCCAAATGGACACACAAAATTCAATTTTCAAAGAGACACACAAAACACATTTCAAATTGAATTTACATTATGTCAAATTCAATTTGTATTTAATTGTTTGGAAAAGGATAAAGAAAATACAATGCAAGCTTGGAATATAATTGCCATCACGTGGAAATTGCCTACTACTAAGAGAATCTTGTTGTTCTCTTTGCCAGTCACTCAGAAGCACATGTGATATATGGGTTATTCTTGGCTATTTCGATTGACTTGTAACCCTTAGGTTACGGATTTTTTTCAATTTAGCACAATTGTTGTACATAGGAAAGTAAGATTTCTTCCAAATTTTGATGTCGATACATTTATTATATCAAAAGTTATTAACAATTAAACAAAAATGATAAAAAATTTTCAAACGGCTATATTCTAAAAACTAATAAAGATACCGAAGTCGAATTTTTTCCAAAATACTTATAATACCTTGAACTTTTGGAATAATTACAACAATAAACAATAAAAAATTTTGTCGAAAGTTATTAACTTTTTGTTTAAACAATTGCTAATATTTCAAAAAGTATATTTTTTTTTTGAAAAATTCTTGATCCTGCGTGTTCCTGAGGATTTTTGTTATGGAAATCAATCATAAAATTCAAGGGCCCGACATATCAGAAGGTGTAGCCCTAATTAGAAGAAAACGCCTCAGCGTAAGACCACGAAGACGTAACGTTGCTGTTGCGACGTACACCGAGGCATTTTCTTTTGGTTAGGGCTACACCTTCCGATATGTCGGGCCCTTGAATTTTATGATTGATTTCGATAGCAAAAATCCTCAGGAACACGCAGGAGCAAGAATTTAAAAAAAAACATATACTTATTGAGATATTAGCAATTGTTTAAACAAAAAGTTAATAACTGTTGAAAAAAAATTTTTATTGTTTATTATTGTAATTATTTCAAAATTTTCAGGTATTATAAGTATTTTGAAAAAAATCCGACTTCGATATCTTTATTAGTTTTTACAATATAGCCATTTGAAAATTTTTTATCATTTTTCTTTAATTGTTTAATAACTTTTTATATAATTAATGTATCGACGTCAAAATTTGGGAAAAATCTCACTTTCATGTGTACAACAATTGTGCCAAATTAAAAAAAAAAAATCCGTAACCTAAGGGTTATAAGTCAATCGAAATAGCTAAGAATAACCCGTATGTGTATATTTAAACATTTTGTTATGTTGACTCAAGCAGAAAATATACTATATCATACTACACCTGTGCAGATTCTAAATAAAACATCATCTTTTTTCTTCATACCTCCGGAGGTAAACTGACAGGCGATAGGCATTGCAAAACTATAACTTGGTGACTTTTGTGAAATCAATTACATGCAGTCAAGTATTGTACACTCTGACTGCAATTGTTCGCCTTCGAATGAGCTACGTGCATTTACTTGTTTGATGCATTGTTTGTTGCCCTTGTTTGGTGCCCTTGTTTGATGTATTTAAATTGTATTTATAAGACGCAGGTGCATAATTGTCTTTTCAATAAAGCCCAACAAGTAAACGCACGTAGCTTATTCGAAAGCGAACAATTGCAGTCAGAGTGTACAATACTTGACTACATGTAATTGATTTCACAAAAGTCACCAAGTTATAGTTTTGCAATGCCTATTCGCCTGTCAGTTTACCTCCATAAGAAGGGATGAGGGAAAAAGATTTTATTCAAGGGACTTAAGTCATTATCACAATATTTTTAAATACGTCCAATTATTTAAAATTTATTATCAAGTTATTCAATGTAATACTTCTAAAATTTATAAGCCTCGGTCACATAGGTACATACGGATGCGGATGGATACGGATGCGAATCGCAACTCTAGTAACATCACTAAAAATATCTAGTTCGATTATTTAGTACCAACACTACCGGTAGTGAGCAAAAGTAACTGTTGTTTAAAACTGTAGCGACGAACGTACCACATTTAATGAACGCCTATCTAACCTTTACATTATTGCAGTCTATAAGATGGCAAATGATAGAGAATTGATAGACTTTCAACTACGATTAGTGGAATTAGACCTTAATTTTATGGAAGTACTTGAATATATGAGAAGAAGAAGAAAATATATATAAATGATATGTATTCATCATCCCAAAAACTTTTTTTACATTAGCATACTCATCAATAAGCAATATTCATGAGAATTTGAAAAGTACATTGTAGACCTAACATCTGAACATTAAATGTGGTACGTTTGGCGCTACAGTTTTAAACAACAGTCACTTTTGCTCACTACCGGTAGTGTTGGAACTAAATAATCGAACTAGATATTTTTAGTGATATTATTAGAGTTGCGATTCGCGTCCGTATCCATCCGCATTCCTATGTACCTATGTGACCGGGGCCATATGAGCCCAATCACCCTTGTTTTATGAAATGATATAATTTCTTACTTATGAAATTCCACTATATTTTTTAATTCTTAAAAATCTTTATCTATTTTATGAAATGCCATAAATTTCATTTTTATTAAATCTTTATTTGAAACTTGATATTCTCAAATATAACGCTTGACCAATCTTATTTAAACGAAGAAAATCAAATCTTACAACTGAATTCTTATCGTAGCTCTATTCGTCCACATAAAATCTTTCCCAGATTTGACAACCAAAATATGAAAACAATTTTCTTGTGTTTAATAAATTAATTGCATAGATTTAGATGCAGTTATAATGCATATGATATTTTTATATATAAATCACTATTAAATGATATTCTACATGCTCATCAAACATTCATAAGTAGAAAGTAACTTACAATATTTTTCAGGAGCCATTCATCGCCATTAATGAAAAATCCATTCACTTGATATAAGATAACATGAAATATATTATTATCAACCGAAAAAACATACTATAATATCAAGTTAATTGTGCCTAATAAATATTTTTTTCCTGTATCAATAATTTATATTACCATTTGAATCTAATCGAACATCCTGATTAGAATTTGATGTATTTTAGACAGCATTAAAATTACTATTTGTCATTGAGATAACAAAGCTATCTTGTGCAGTTCTTTGCATATTATCTGTTACTGAAAATTAGAATTTTTATAAATAGTTACCCAGTTTTAGTTCGAATCATTTTTATACTTTCTTACAAAAAAAATAATGATCAAATATAAAAAGGAATATCAGCAGTATTGAATAATGTAATATTGCTTATAGAATAAATGCCTATCCTTTATTAATTATTAAATTGACAAAACAATAATAAAAGTACGTTCATATTTTAGATACAAATGATTTATTGATTAATTTTTTTACCTTCTGAGGTGTCATGTTCCTTATCATCTGATGGCCCAGAACAAGAATTTCGCAATCCTCTAATGTAAGTATCGATACCTGCAGTGCTTATTGAATGTAAGACATTAACGTCAAATTCAGTTAACGTTGCATTCAAGTTTATCATATTCGATGCTGTATCGTTGACACTACTACTACTTTCCATTTCGTTTTAGGTTCCTTTATAAACAAAATAGTTCTATAATCATAACGGTTTTGCAAGAAATATAATTCTTTGCAATAACTTAAACGATTGTTTTTATAATACTTACTGTAATAATTTGTATGATTTTTTTAGAATTCATGCGTGATTGCAAAAGACTATTATTATGGACGCACTACTTGATTATCATCTAGACATCTGTATACTCCATGTTCATTGCTCAATGAAAAGCTGAGGAGAGTTCACTTCTATACATACACAAAAAGTCGTGGTTTTAAAAGAAATCGGCTTCTGACTTCTTTTCTTTTGTGATTCTTGACTTCTTTGTTCTGTTGAAACAAAGAAAGATTCTATTGTCAAAATTAGATTTTTAGTGTCAATTAATTGAGTTTTGAGTATTTCTGCGTATAAGTTTACAGTTATTAGAAAATTCTTGTGTAGCGATGGATCAGCCAGAATTTTATGCGAAAATCAAGTATTTACAAGATAATCAAAAATACGTGACACCTGTCAAGGTTATATTTGAGTTCCAATCAAACCAATCAGATGATTTTAACAAAAATTTAGTATATACTATTCTGTGGGAAAATGATCAAAATAAACCAGTAGAACTGACAATAAAAATCTTAGGTATTGAAACTAAGTCTTTATATATATATATATATATATATATATATATATATATATATATATATATATATATATATATATATAATGTAATATAATTTTCATTATAGAAAAATGTATTATTAATTATCATAAAACTCGAATGACTTTTTCATCTACGTATTCACTTTATTCAATAAAAAGCAAAACCATTTTATAGGGAGAATCCAGCATCTTATATTGAAAATTAATCTTTTAATTTACCATGCAGACAGTAACGAATATCAAAAGAAATTTTTATTACATACATTTCTTATTACATTGAGATGTAAAAAATATATATACTCATTCAACATAAAAGTCTAGAATAGAGTGAATACATGGATGTAGAAGTCATTCGAGTTTTATGATCTTTATATATATTTTTTACATCTCAATGTATTAAGCAATTTATGTAGCAAAAATTTCTTTTAATATTCGTTATTGTCTGCATGCTAATTTAAAAGATTAATTTTCAATGTAAAATGCTGGCTGCTCTTTTTAAAATGTTTTAGCAAATAAATTTTCATCTACATTTCCATGTGTGTTTTCATATAGGTTGAGATGCAAATTAAAAAGCCATCCAAAATAAAAACATCTTATTCGTATGTAATATTGTTTTATATTATAATAACAATAACCAGTGGCAGAGGTTATTTTAACGAAGATTTCGATGATGACTTTAATTGTTTCTCATACGAAGCAAAGTCCTGACTGTCTTCATTGAATCCAAATACAGAGGAAAATTTAAAAAGCGATGACAGCATTTTGTGCACTGAAGGAATAAAATCAAGCACGCCACAACCAAAGAGCAAAAGTAAGTAAAATTTGAATACAGTAATGTACAAACCTTAATACTTTAAAGATGGAGGTTATTCACATTTTAACGCGATGTCTGACGACTATATCGACCCGAGCAGACTCCCAGTTATTCCAACTTTACGAGTAAATGATAATCCGATTGCACTGAAACTTGGTAGGGATGTCAAGGAGATTATAACGAACGGCGGGCCATTCTTATTTTTTCGAAGCCAAAAAAAAATATTTCGCGGTTTTTTCCAATATCGGTTTTTTAAGGTTTGCTCGCGAAAAAAATTATTTGTTTGGGCTGAAACTTTGAGGGAACATGGAAAGTATGATATGCTTTTTGCAAGTTCCACTACAAATTATCAAGTTTTTCCGGAAAAACTCAAATAAACCGAGAGTCGAAAAAAACCTGTAATTTTTTTTTATTTCGTCGATTTTTGAAAAAATGGATCCTGAGCACCCATTAGAATCATACTTTCTATGTTCCCTCAAAGTTTCAGCTCAAAAAATTCATTTTTTCGAAAGAAAATCGAAATCGGAAAAAACCGCGACATCTTTTTTTTGGATATGAATTTCGAAAAAATAAAAGCAGAGTGCTCTTTATTATTATCTTCTTAATGTTCCTACCAAGTTTCAGTACAATAGAATTATTAATTTCAGAGAAAAGTTGGATTAACTGGAGTCCCCTCGAGTCGATTCAATCGTCCGACGTCGCCTTAAAGTAAAATTATGTAATTTGAAGACTTTGTTTCGACACTAAAATTCAATTTCAGATATGTATACATTACTGTGTTAGCAAAGTATACATAAAAACATTTCATACAGAAAGTAAATAAAAAAATGTATTTTATTACGATATATAAATATAATTTTTTTATAACTGTAGGAAAATTGATATTTGACAATGTGTCAACACTTTCGGCAAAACAATCAAAACAAGCTCGTTTTGTTGCTGAAAAACCCAGTGATCCTGAACCTGTTTCCGGTGTTCCCTAAGTGACTCTCACAGAAAAAAAATTACACCAATTCATTTCTGGTTTACTACGGAATACTCGTAATGGACCAAAGTGTAGCAAAACAACTAAGCATAAACCAAAGAGATCAGAGGTTGTGGAAAACATTGGTTCAAATGATGAAGAGTTATCCAGTGGAATTCTTGAAGAATCATACTTTGCCAATTTTTTGCAGAAGGAAACTAACGAATTCTGAATATGTGACAGTCAGTATTCTATTTCTGACATATCAATGTTCATACCTTCACTGTTTACATTAATTATTACAAAAGTTTTTCTTTCTTTCAGATATCTTTCATCTAGCTAAATAAAGAAAAAAATTCTTCTGGATGATTGGAAAGTGTTATTGAAATTAAAAGACGAGTGAAGGTTTACAGTAAAAGTTTATTTTTTTCCTCTTTAGAATAATTCACAAGGATGAAAATGGACAATGGCAACTAAATGTAAGCAAAAGCTGCGTACAGGTTGACAAACCATCTTACACTCCTAATGGTCAAAATCGCCGTGTTCCGATCAATGCATACGAACATGAAACGATAAAAAGTACGTACGTTTCTTTTGGCCGATTTCATCTTAGATCATGCAAAGCTCCATGCAGACCTGTCACGAAGCTACTCCACAGTATTATTTTATTGTTCTAGGTCAAAAATAAGAATACCCGTATTTTTTATTTTTCTCTCAGATGCATATTTGCGTCAATTATGCAATCGGAAAATGCATTGCTGAAAAGAGAAACTTGAGTAAAATTTTTTGATTGTATTTTGGTTATTCAATATTTCTTTTATTATTCGACACGGTAAAATAGTTTTTATGTTACTTATAGCGGAAATGAAGCTCTTTAAGTATACATTATTAAAAATGTGCATAAATGCATTTTTCGGTAGAAAATGCATTTTTGGAAAAAGTGGATCTTTGAAAAAAACCGTTTATCTCAAAATGGCCATCTTTTTTATCTCTTAAATTTTTTTTTGTAGGTTCTTTGTACCAGGACCTTCAAATCTATGTATCCGAAATTTGGTTTTTTTCCCCAGATCGCTTAAAAAATTAAAATAAAAAAAATTCATTTTCGTGTCAAACGCAATAAATTATTCAGCAATTGATTTTAGCGACTGTGTAGGTGAAGAATATAAATGTAATAGCATGTGAATCAAATAAATCGTTCGTTTTTATTTATTCATATATGTGCAAATAGACTAAATTTACATGATATATCAACAACTTAGTTCACTTTTTTAGCTTGTGACAATACTCTCTCCTTGTCACCAATTCTTTTGCGGGGTAAGTGAGGCACTTTCGCTCAAGGCAATTGAGGGAGAAAATAGAGGGGAGGTCAATAAATAAATTATGTAAAGACAGAAATCAAATCACACTTACAACCTATTATTATTAATACCTATTTACATAAACATACGCGCGCATAAGATAATCTAAATTATTGACCAACTAACTGCAAAATAGAACAGTAAACTACTTAAGATAATCACAAATAAATATTTCGCATTTCATCCTAACTAATACCTAATCGTGCACTTAACCTATTACAATTTTACTTAAAAATTACGCGAACCTATTCCAGATGAATTGCCCGGCACGTGGGCGCCTGGATAATTCGCCGGTCGCCATTTACTCTACTACGAATTAAATTTAAACGCGAACCTTTAGATAGCCGGCACGTGAATGCCTGGCTATCTTATTCAACGCGTACCGGTCGTCGCATCTCCAGAGAGAGAGAGTGTAGAGAGAAAGAAGAAAAGAAGGTTTGACGTTTCCTGTTAATGTTCCTCGCAACGTAGAGAACCTCTAACGAAGCACTGCTGCAGGGAGTGTCGGTCGTCGCTGCTGGTCAGACTGCTGCCGAACGATGCTGGCTGTAGTTGCTGGCCAAGATCTGCAGGACACGTCGGTCGAGGTTGTAGATCCAAAATCTGCAGGCGACGTCGGTTCTCCTTGCAAACGGGACTGACCGTAATCGAGGATAAAGCTGTTGCTGGTAGAGCTGGCCTTCCTTCCAACTATCCCAAAACCTGCACTCTCTGTACTGTCTTGGACTGGACTTGGACTCATGCACGCACTTTTTCTCGCGCTCGTCTCGCGGCCGCTCAGCGGCGTTCGCTCCTCTCCCTTCCTGACCTATTAGTTAGGCGGCACGCGACGTGCCGATTATCGGTCACGCGTCGCGCGCCTGCCTATCTCTGCATAGGCCTAATGCTCGCTCTCTCTCTCTCTCTTTCTCTCACTCTCTCCGCGCTCTTCAATTTTTCTGCGCTCAACTGCGCTGGCCCGTCCTTGGCGCTGAAACAAAAAGGCCAAGTGTTAGGCGCATACTTTAATGCGCCCAACGTTGGCCACCACGCCTTGCCGAGTGGAGGAGGGAGAAACGCAGACGAGAAACCGGCACACGGCCTGCTCTCGTCACAAGCTACAATTTTCACTTTTTTTTATCTTATTTCGTTTTTCTTTTTTCTTCTTGTCGGCTATTTTATTTTTTTCATTTTTTTCACTTGAATCCAAGGATGAGCAGCCGTTCGAGCTATGAAACATTCGCTCCCTCTTTCCGTGACAACAGATTTCCACATGTGACAACGCTAAATACCCACATATTTCTGGCAAATGTTTCTATGCTCTTGTTGACTACTACGAAAATCGCGAATTTCTGCAGTTTCCATTAAAATCAGCTTTATTGACGTTGAGTATTTTGTTACGTTATCAACAAAACTTTCAGCACTTTGAATAGTATCAAATTCGGAACTGTGCAAATTATGCATTATTGCATAATGTTTTATCAAGCCACCTACTCCATCAACAGAACCCTTTTCATGACCTGTAGCTGAAAATATCCACTTTTTATTTATTTTTAAATATAA